ATTATATAAATATATGTTACATATAATATATATTTTATGTAATATTATTTCTTATTTTATTATTTTAAAAAAATCTACTAATATTTTATTGGGTCATTCAATCCCAGGACATCAAGAATGTAGAAGAAAGGGAAATGAGACAGCAAAAGATGGAAAACAAATACAAAGGTATGAATTAATAAGCTGGCCATTTCTTTAAAAAAAAAAAAGATCGGTTTCTTGTCATCAGTGACTTGCCCAGACAGTCTCCATAGAATCATCCTGCCTTAGAAGAGTCTATCAGGTAAAGGAAGGGAAAGAAATATATTTGCCAGTTTCACATCTCTCATTGGTCAAAGCTTATCCTAGCACGTTGATCCTTGCCCAGTGCCTCCAGTCAGCTGCTGGGGAAGCGCAAAAGCTCAGTGCTTCATCTGAGTCTGGAACTGGTGTAAGTAGCGAGAGCCTCTGTGGGTGTAGGCAGTATTGCTTTAGCACAAGAGATGCTACTTTGCTACTACAGCAGCGAGCCAGAGGACCAGAGAGCAAATGGAACTGAGCAAATAGTTAGGTATCCTAGAGAAGAATTAGAGCCTTGGTTCTCCAACCTGTAAAAGATTAGAGTCATCTGAAGAATTTTGGAAGCTATCTGATAATCCAGTGTTCAAATTATCTATTTCTGCATTAAAAAAATTACTCCAGGGAATTCCCTGGCGGTCTGGTGGTTAGGACTCTGTGCTCTCACTGTGGAGGGCTCCAGTTTGATCCCTGGTTGGGAAACGAAGATCCCACAGCCCATGCAGAGCAGCCGTCCCCCCAAAAAAATTACTCTAACACATGGCTTAAAAACCACTTAAAATATTTTATTAAATACATTAATATACTGTCACAAATGAATATAATTATATAATATTACATTTTTGTATATTAATATGTAAATTTAAATATAATTAATATATGGTTTCTATTTATTTAATATACATTTAAGTGGTTTCTAAGGAACATAATATTAATATATTAATAAATATATTTCATATATAATTTACATATATATACTTACTATATATTTTATAATTTCTGTCATTAATTCTTCTGTGACCCATAAATTGTTTTTTAGAAGTATTTTAGAGTTTCCAAACTGAAAGCCTTTTCTAGTTTTTTAAAAAAATTAATGTCTAACTTAATTGCATTAAGTGATCAGAGAATGTTAACTGTATAATATTAATCCTTTGAAGTCTGTTGAGGCTAGCTTTATGGCTGAGTGCTGTGGTTTCTTTTTATAATGTTCCTAAGATAATATATATTCTCCAATTGTTATATATATATTTATATAAATTTATTTCTATAATATATAAAATATATTTATATACATATTAGAAAAAATATATTTTCTAATAGACATATGTTACCTAACTATAATTGTGCTGTTCAAATCTTCTGTATCCCTCCATGTATACACAAATGTATCAAAGACACTTACAGGACTGTTCATAGCTGCTTTATTCACAATAGCAAATGTGGCAGTCAACTAGCTGACCTGCTTAGATCTCCTTTAAAGACAGGCTCTGCTGTGAGGAGTGCAGTCAATTGACACAGCAGTGTGCAGGGGCCTGTTAGTACTGGCTTTAAAGACCTGACTGTAAAAATTTCAGGGTATTTGCAAACTGTTTGTTAAACACAGCCATTATTAAAAATTAAGTTTTGCTAAATTGTAATTAAATAAATTATATTCAAAACAAAGATAATTTCTCAAAACTCTTCACTTCCTCTTCTGTTACTACATTTTACTTATACTTAGGCTCTCAAGATTATTTGCATCTACTCTATCTGTATGGTGGAAAAACTATATAATGGTGTCCTATTGGGCATCATTCCCCAAGTTCATGTTCAGTGATGTCACACTGGTTACTTGAAATTGGCCTTGGCGAGGGTACTGACATCATGGAAATCAGCGAGTGCTACAGGTTGGCTTTTAAACTTAAAACAATGAGGAAAATGCTAATAATACAGAAAAAACTTAGTGTGTGGTGTCTGTAGCTGTCACATTGTGAACAGCACAAAAATTTAAGGAAAATTCTTTTAGTATTAGAAAAGTATTTATTCTAGCAAAAAAGTTACTCACAACATTGGCAGACAAGTGGAATTCTGACATACATGTTGGTTGTTTCACTTTCATCTTAGTCATTAATATAAACAAAAATATCAACCAGCATTCATGCTGGAACTACATTCACCAGTTGCAACCATAGGTTGGCTATAGATACAAGAGTTCAGCAAAAACCAATGAAAGTACTCTGGGAGAATCAATTGTGAGGGATTTACAGTAAAGAGTATGTTTTATTTATAAGTTGTGTGCTACAATTCTTTATATTACTAAAATTTATAAGTACAATCACATACACACACACTTTCTCCCAGAGAGCCAGTCATCAAACATTTACCAGCGTAACACTGGCTAACAGCCGGCAACCACAGCACTTCAGGGTTTTCTCACAGTGTTCCATTTGAGAACTTGCTCTTCAGAGGGAGTGCTAGCCAATGATTCAGATGGCAGGGCTGGTAGGGTCTGGCCATGTCTGCTCTATGAGCAATCTTTGTGCTGGAGTTCTCTTTTTACCTGGCTGAGACTTTCTCAGACCTTCACTGTAGTTTCAACCTTCACCTACACAATTATTCTCCTTTCCCTCTCTTTTCTAAGGTGTCAGAATATATCTTGTCCTGAAAACATTCCTACTCCCATCCCTTTATCTTTCACAGGAACTTCCCCCAATAACTCTCTTTCACTTCTAACTCCTTCCTGGTATCATCTTCCTGAAGGACCCAAACTGACAGCTGAAAAAATGGAAACAATAGATGAGTGAATAAACTTAAGAAAGTGATAAAGACAATGTTAATGGCACGGATTAAATTTAAGAGTATGCCTTGACTGTAACTGTTACATTATGAATAGCACAAAATAATGAGGAAAATTCTTCCAGTATTGGAAAACTATTATCTCAGCAAAGAATACTATTCAGCAATTAAAAAGGAACAGACTACTCATATATACAACATGGATGAATCCCCAAAAGACAGTATGCTGATCAAAAGAAGTTAAGAGCAAAAGGAGTACATACAGTATGATTCCATTTATATGAAGTTCTATAACAGTCAAGGGAATGTGGAATGGGGAACAGACTGGGAAGGGGCACAAGGGATCTTTCCAGGATGACTGAAATATTCTATCTCTTAATATGATTTCATGAGTGTACGCATTTGTCAAAACGCATCCAGCTATATATTTTTTTGTACACTTAAAAAAATATCTGTTTACTTATTTGGCTGTGCTGGGTGCGGCACACGGGATCTTCCTTGTGGCATGTGGGATCTTCAGTTGTGGCATGTGAACTCTTAGTTGCAGCATGTGGGATCTAGTTCCTTGACTAGGGATCAAACCGGGCCCCCTGCATTAGAAGCACAGAGTCTTAGCCACTGAACGTCCAGGGAGGTTTCCCAACTATACATTTAAAATCTATTCATTGCACTGTGTATGTTACATCTCAATACAAAAGTGCAAAAATAATTCTTCCTATGATGATGTAAGATTTGTAATTTTCTTCTTGTAGATCTGTCCATTTCTGCTGTATATATTTTGAGGTTATATCATTAGATACCTGCAAATTTATGTACATATAACTGAATGACTGCTGTACATCTGAAACTAACACAACATTGTGAATCAACTATATTTCAATTAAAACAATTTTAAAAATATATCTGCAAATTTAGAATATTGCTGATGAGTGGCAGCTTTTCTGCTCTTCTATAAACACATACAATGTGTCCTCCACACTCATTCCTTCTATCCTATTCTAGCCTAATCTTCCATTTGCAGTGCTTCAGCACGTAGACCTGTCTTGCTGGTTTTGGGTCGGACTTAAAACGAATCCCAAGAGGGGGACGTGCAGCCACAGCTGCATGCAAATGACTGGAAGTCCCTTCTCCGGTCACTTGGGGCATCCATACCTCATGGGCTTCCAACTCTGGCTTCTACTCAGAATCCAGCCAGCATCTGTTCCAGTGGTCGAAGCAAATGCTCAGTCAAAACAAAGAGCAGCCTGAAGAAGGTGAGGGAATAGGGGATTTTGCAAGTGCTCACACTCCAGACCAGCGAACAAGGAAGACTTGGTATAAAGGGCTCAGATCTCAGAGAAGGGTTCTAGACATCGCGCGCTGCATACTCTACTTTTGTGGTGGCGGTGGCAGGTTGTAGGGCAGGGAGCGGGAGGAAGCTGAAGAATAGGGAGGGGAAAGTTGCTGTAGCCTCAGCGTCAGGAGGTAGGGGCTTTAGGTAGCAGGTGGCTGGACTGCACCACGCCTGCTATTTTAAGGCTAGGCCTCTCTTCCAGGCGCGTGGTGTAGAGGGAAGGCATCATTTGAAGCGCCCACATCCCAGGTGGGAGATGTTAATGGGGGTGAGATGGAGATGACACTTGCCTGTGGCTACTGCTGGGCGCTTTCGCCCTTCGACCCCCACCACTATAAAGCTGAGGAACTCAAGGAGCAAACACGCGGTCCATACACTTGCACTTTCACTCACTGGTGGGTGGACCAGGCTCCACCCAACTCTGGGCTTTTATTGGTCAGCCGAGAAGGGATAGCTAGCAGCCTCCTCCGGATTGGTCGATTTCTGCTAGCTCTCAAGTCAATCAGAGTAGAAGGTACTGGACTCCCATTCTCTGGCTTCCGGGGGAGCCATGTTGGATAGCGGCACGCAAACCTTCCAGTCCTGAGGCCGTAACGTAATAACATCCCCAGCTTTCCTCTGTCGCCGCCGTCTCCTCCTAACAGGTTATTTCAATGAATAAAAATGCGCTTTTTCACTCACAAAACGTGTCGTTTCATTAGTATAATGTGAGAAGCCTGCGTTTAGGCAGTGAAGCGCGAAGGAGGGGAAGAGGTGCCCTATTCTGCCCACCAGCCCTCTAAACCAGCAAAGATTCAATACTGATTCCCGCTATCCAGGAGGCCCCCACTTCGGGCCTCCCGCAGCGGGCGCCGGTTTTGAGTGACTTTTGGCCCCTTGCGGCACCTGTAGCGTCCCTAGTTACCGGACCCCTAGTAACCACCTCCCCAAGCAAGGAGCCATCGGGCGCCTGCTGCCGCGCCGGCTTCCACGCCCCGGGCCAGCGCGGGCGCTCAGGCCTCGGTGGCGTGGTGATGGCCGCCTCGCACCGAGCAGCGAAGCTGGCGGCCAGCAGTCTCCAAACCCCGGTCAATCCCAGCACCGGAGCGCGGGTCACCCATTACGAACGCAAAGACCCCGTAGAGTCCCTGTCGGCGGCGGCAGCGGCCTTGGAGGAGGAGGAAGAGGAGGAGGAAGAGGCGGCGGGGCTGGCGCGGGCGCCGGTAATGCAGGGGCGGGAAGTGGGCTGGGGCTAGGCCCCGGGTGGTGCAGCTGGAGGCTGGTCGGCGACCTCGCTGGTGAGGCGCGGGCTGGGAAACGCGCGCCCTGTCCAGATCCCTCCCTACCCGTGAGCCTGGCCCACCACGTTCTCTGTGCTCCCACGGAAAATACTCAAAACCAAGGCGTTGAAAAGTCTTTTAACTTTAACTAAAGAGATTGTTGTAAAAATTTCTTGGAGAGCATTTACGTTAGTCTGTTTCCAGAGAGTGAAAAGTACAGAACTTTACTCCTTATGCCCCAGCATCTGTTGGGAGTAGATATTTGCTTTTCTTTTTCTTTTCAACTTGAGGGAAACTGTTCTATCCATAGAGGATAACCCATAAAACGCAAGTGAATCAGCTGTGCTGTCAGGTGTGTTTTGTTGTCATCTTGATGTCTTCGTTATTAGTGCATTTTAATACAGAACATGAGAGATGATGTTTAAAACCAGCAAGAGTTCACTGGGTAAATCAGACATATAGTTAAGCCTCCAGAGAAACAAATTCCTGAGGTTCCAATGTTTCCACTCGGCTCTTAAGGGTGGGGTGAGACAGCTTTTTCACTGATCAATTTTCAGTGTCAAATGTGTTGTGACCACCTGTCTACCAGGTAGAGAGTCAAGTCTGCCATCGGCTCTATTCACTTAAAAGATGGGAACCTTGAATTTTAACTAGCAGTCCGCAGACATAAACCTCCTTAACCCCAGTTAAAGATTCTTAATACCATTTGTCCAAAGCTTCTCAGATTCAAATCATTGTGGTCTAGGGCTAATAGAAATTACTGGATATTTTGGAATTCTAATCTCTTTAATCTATACTAAAACTGTTAATGAGAAAATCTGTAGCAACACCTTTTATGGGCAGTATTTTACCAACAGATAAACTACTTGAGGTTATCCAGAGTAAGGCAGATTGAGACCCTGAACATAAACCAGGGTCGGTGACCTAGGACCAGATTCATTCATGGTAAAGCTTCCCCTCAACACAAATTTCAGGAGCCAACGAAGGAGGCAAACTGATGTTGGAAAAAGATTTGAATGGAGAAAAAGGATTTGGAGTCCTGGGCTAGGATCTGTTCATTTGCTAGTTGATATTCAGAAGTAACTTCCTTCAATCTCAGTTTCCTTATCTGTAAAAGAACTATAATAACTGTCTCTCTTTCTTGTCTCACTGGGCTATTATGATAACCAAATGAGAGAGTATGTTATAGCTAAAGGACAGTTTGTATAAATTAGTAATAATAATAACAACTGCCAGTGGGACTGTTATTTGAACAACTCTCGCAAAGATTAAGTTCTACTTTGGCTTGCTGTGGTGGAGGAAGCAGTCAGTTCTGTAGTCACAGGTATACTTCCAGAGTGTCCTGGTAAACTGCAGATCTGTATGAGAAACGTCACCTTAGGAAAGGTTAGTTTAATGAGCTAATTTCCAAGGGGCATGGTCCTACTGAAGAAAAAAAAAAAAAAAGGAAGCTAAGTTTGGAGTTTGACACTGTTTTGAGACCACTGTACTTGAAGGATCCAAAAGCAAATCTGGATAAGCTGCCACTGTAGAAGGCCTGATGGTCAGAGGACATGGGGTTGGCAGACAAAGCACTGAAAAGCCAAGGAGAGTGCAGGAGCCAAGCTTTGCCTTCTTCACAGTTTGGCTTGGTCTCCACCTTGGGTTTTTTATTTTTCTATTTATTTGTTTTATTTATTTATTTATTTTGGCTGCATTGGGTCTTTGTTGCAGTGTGCGGGCTTCTCGTGGTGTATTCTCTTGTTGCAGAGCACAGGCTCTAGGTGTGTGGGTTTCAGTAGTTGCAGCACATGGGCTCAGTAGTTGTGGCACACGAGCTTAGTTGCTCTGCAGCATGTGGGATCTTCCCGGACCAGGGCTCGAACCCGTGTCCCCTGCATTGGGAGCACAGAGTCTTAACCACTGCACCACCAGGGAAGTCCCTCCACCTTGGTTTTTTAAAGGTTAGTTTGTCTCAACTTCGTCATCTATAAGATGGAATAAACTCAGCTTACCAGAATCACCACACAAAATTGATTAGAGAACCAACTGTCACAGTAGGCCCCTTTAAGTCCTTTGGTTTGCCAAAGCAACCCCTGCCCCACCGCTGGCTCCATGCACACCCCTTGCAGGACTCTGTGCCCATATAGGGCACTAAGTCATATTTCTTGAATCTAGCCTCAGTTGGAGATATCAGTTCATAGACCTTTATGGGGTTGATGATGACATGGGTAAAGCACTATTCTATAATTCACAGTTAAAATTTCACTGACTTTCCTAATGGGATGGCCTTCTATTTTTCAACAAATATTGAGCATTTATTAAGTGCGAGTCACAGACTATTCAGTAGTGAATGAAGCAGACATAGCTCATGTCGTCACAGTGCTTCCATTCTGATGGGGAAGTTAGACAATAAAAAATGAACAGTCAAATGATTATAAGACAGGAAGTGTTGGGAAAGAAATGAACAGGTTACTATAATTTAAAAAAGAAATAGGAAGGAACATATTTCAGTGAGTTAACATTTAAGCCAATGCCTGATCGATGAGAAAGAGCAGCCATTTGAAGAGTGGGGGAGGGAAAAGCATTCCAGGCAGAGGGAGTGGCATATGCAGAGGCCCAAAGATAGGAAGAGAGAGAGTTTTGTGTGATTAAGGATCTGAAAGAAAGCCAATGGGACTGGAGAAGAGAGAGGGGGAGAGGGGAGGGGATGAGGTTGGAGAGGTAAGGAGGGTCTTGTAGACCAAGGTAAGGAGTTTAGTGTTTATTGCAGGTGCAGTGAGACGTCCTTGAAGACTTTTAAGAGATCTGACATGTTCCTATTTACATTTTAAAACGATGACTCTGATGGCTTTGTGGAGAATGATTGGAGGGTTTGACAAAGAAAGGAGACTGGGTAGGAGGCTTTTGCAGTAATTCAGGTGCCAGAAGTGGTGGCTTGGACCTAGAGCCCAGGGGAGATGGCAAGAAATGGACAGATTGCATAGGACTTAGATTAGATTGGATGTGAAGGCCAAGGAAGAAGTCAAGAATGCTCATTCCCACGTTTCTGGTTTGACCAGCTGCACAGAAGATAATGTCATTTACTGAATTGTGGGTAACTTGGGGAGGAATAGATTCAGGGGCTGGGTGGGAATCAAGGTTTCAGTTTTGAACATGGTAAATTTGAGGTACCTGTGAAACTACCAAGTGGAAAGATGAGATACCTGTGAAACTACCAAGTGGGCCTATGAAAATGTAGTCCTGTTGGGTGTGGGATGGAGAATCTCCATCTGGGAGTTTTCAGCATTTTTGAAACACTGGATTAAGTCACTTAAGGGGAGACTTCAGAGAAGGAAGAGAAGGGGCCTAGTATAGAACTCTTAAAACCCTTGACATTTAACAGGTAGAGAAAAGGGGGGCAAAAGAGATTAAGACCAGCTACAGTGGTAGAAGAATTATTGCAGGGGTGTGGAAGTTTCCAATTCATTTGTTTCAATGCTAAGGGAAAGGGGCAAATGCTGCTAAGAGAAGGACATTTCATCCCCGAAGCAGGAGGGAAGGAGCAAAGGGGCACAAAGGCATGCAGTTTTGTAGATGGGAAGATGAGGGAACTTCCCTCTGACGGTTTTTTTTTTTTTTACTGAAGAAATAAAGGAATTATCATGGGCAGTTGGGAGTCGGGGTGGGAGCAGGTAGAAGAGCAAGGGACAGGTAGGCAGGATCTCTGGGGCAGTGTGAGAGCCACTTCCAGAAGGAGCATGGGAGGTACCAGGCAGACCAAGTAGCCATGAGAAATTGTTCATTTTTAAATTTAGTATTAATATTCACAAAACATTCTTTTTCTTTTTTTTTAAGTTACATTTTAATTATAGAAGTAATACATGAACACATTCTCCTTTTAAAATTTCAAATGTTATATCGTGCTTGCTTCGGCAGCACATATACTAAAATTGGAACGATACAGAGAAGATTAGCACGGCTCCTGCGCAAGGATGACACGCAAATTAGTGAAGTGTTCCATATTTTTATAAAGATGTTTAAAAAAATGTTATAAATAAGGCTTAGGCCCTTTTAACACTTCTCCCCTCAAAAAGAAAATCTGGTTCCCCCCTCCCTCCTCATCAGTAGCCACTGTTTTGAAACTGATATATGTTCTGGGCTTTTTCCTGTCTCCTGTGTACATAATATTTTAATATATGGTAGCATTTTATAGATACATATTGTGCTGCCACTTGCTTTTTTTCTCTTATGTACATTTAGATCTGCCTCATTCCTTACAAATCCCTTTAATGCAAAAAACTTTTAAAATAAAAATTCCATAATTGTAGATGATACTAGATCGACTATAACACAAATAATTGTGAGTGCTGATTACTAATGAAGCAACATGTGTTGGAAGGAGACATCATCTAACTGGGTCAAGCCAATCTAGGGAAGATTATCCTCTAATCTAGTGGCTGCATGTACAACAACATTCCACAGAAAGCTCAACAATTAAAGGGAAAGGGTGCTATTTTAGGCTCTTGGAAAATAATATCCTTGGCCTAGATTATTTGAACTACTAAATGTTTCCTTCTGTGTGGAGACAATTTAAGATGAAATTAGAGTTGGAAGTTGCTTACTAACCATTTATCTGTTTTGGGTAAAACACTGTGATATCAGTTTATCCGAAAAGTTCAGGCTAGTGTTACCAGTATTAAGCTGAAGTGGAATGGATACTGTGCAAAAGTCAGTGCATAAGTATAATTATTTGCCGCATCTCTTCAGAAGCTACTCATCCTTCTGTATCTTTTTCAAACAGTTTTTCCAGGTTCAAATAAACTTCATCCTTTCTGTGAAAATGATTGTTATAAGGCCTTGTTTTAAGGAATGTTCTAAAAGAATGAATGGAGAGCACGTGGATGCTTTTGCCTAAAAGCGAGTCTTTGGAATATCCACTCTGTTTCAATGGTAGTTTTTGGAAAATAAGCCCTTTCCTTAAT